TTTAATATACAACATAGTAAAGCACCTAACTCTCATATTTTGGTATCTAAAATCAGTTTGTGACTCATCACTAACTGATTAGCAAAAGGTTGTTTCTTCTAATTGACTGATTGTTCCTGTAATACTTGCAAGTATGATCAAACACAACACAGAGACATTGATATATTGACAATATTAAACAGAGTTGCATCTTAACATTCACACTACACGGTGCAAGTTTCACTGGATTAACTCATCATTTTGGATGCCTGTTTCCCTGTTTGTGGCTGGTGGGTGTATATGTACCGTATGTCTTTGCCAAAGGGATGTACACACCTAAGAGACCAGCTTCTTTCCTTTGCACATTAGAAACCTGTGCCTCTAAAGAAGTACAAGTGAAGTCGTAGGTTGAGGTAGTTTGAAAGGCGGAAGGTAAACTCAGCTCAGCACTCCCCCTCAGAGATCATACCCAGAGGAACAGCAGGTTCTGCTCCCCTTCAGGTGATCTAGGATTTGTCACATCCTTTGCCAGCTAGCATAGCATGGATCTGTGTGTGTGAGTATATGTGTGTTTGTGTGTATCCACATGTTTTTGTTTGAATAGTTAACAGTTTGTTTTCTAGAAGACTGAAATTCTTTTGGATCGCCCTTCAGGGTCACTGACACGACGTGTACAAGCACCAACTGACAAACACGCACATGAACACAAGCACATACATGAACACAAGCAAGCATGCACAAACAAATACACATGTGTAAACACACAGCCAGCTCTCCTCAGCGGCTCTTGATTGCTCTGGTCTGATTCGAATTAGAGGCTCATCTTTCTCAGATCTCAGAAATGTCTCTGAGGTCGGGCGGTTCAGCGGTTTGATGCTGATGCCAACACACAATTGGTCTAAGGCCTGCTTGGATGGCACTAGGGGTTTTGATGGGGTTGTGTTTTGCTCCAACAATCGTGGTTTTAAACGTTTACAGGGGGAAAAACATTGACTGCAGTCACAAGACCTAAACTCATTTAACCCATAGTGCTCGGCAGTAGGAGTCTAAATAAGGACTCATAACATGCAACTATCAAGTGGTTAAGCCAAACAGATTATTACCACATAGTCATTACAATGTGGAGGTGTTAAACACATATTCTGATACTTCATGGACATATTTCTTGAATATCATCAACTTTGACTTTTCCAAACATGGCAGCAATACTCTGGTATCCTTACTTCTAATTCGACTACTACCTTTGTCCCACTTCCAAGGCGTTTACACTATTGTTGTCCTATTTAGCTAAATATATCATTTTCAGTAATTGCGGGATCTTTTTAAACTAATTTGTTGTGTGGAGTCATGGCTATTACACTGAAGAAGACCTTTCCTTTCCTGTGGTTTGCTGAAGTTGGGCTCTCGTGTGGCTTTGATAATGACATAATTGCCCCCAAATGCAGCTTCCAGAGAATGTGACCAAAACAGCACGAGAAGAGCTATAACCGATAAATGCCACCTAAAGCACTTTTTGTTTTAATTATATTACTGATCTGAATATTCTCAAAAACCTGCCAAATCTCATTAAAGTCAAATGTTGCCTGCCAGCATCTTTTGATATATTACTTTTTTCTATCCATCTTTAATATTTATAAATGGGTACCAGCTGCTAGAACAATGGATGATTTTAACTGATGGATTTTGACAAGCTTGTTGGTTACTGATTATGGTTAACGTGATGTTTAGAGAGATATTCAAAAATACATGACTTTACAGATGTAAGAATATGGAAACAGTATGCACGGAGCTACATATATTGTCTTTTCCATATTCCTTGAAATAAGTGCTGAGTGTTATCCAAAGTGATTACAGGAAAGTAAAATAAGGATGTATGGGGGAATGGATGTAATAACAGATGGACATATATAGTTGCTAGTGACATACACAACCTATAATACACTAACTAGACAAAATGTTGGCAGAGCAACGGTTCTCACTAGTGGCTTTCATATCTGAAGCTGACTGATTGAAACTAATGGATACAACATGGGCCTTAGAAATGGCTTCCACATGCAAGAGACAGCTGTGTGTGTGTGTGTGTGTGTGTGTGTGTGTGTGTGTGTGTGTGTGTGTGTGTGTGTGTGTGTGTGTGTGTGTGTGTGTGTGTGTGTGTGTGTGTGTGTGTTTGTGGAGAGCTGTTAATACATATAGGAAGGTAATATGTGTTTTATGT